ATGGACTTCAGGGTAGCGTGTATGGTGTTCTGTGTTCAACTCAGATGTTCCCACCCTATAAGCTTAAGCTAGTCAAGTATAGATTTAAGAACAAGATGGTGAAGATTCTATCTATCCTATTGCTGGCAGGTGCCCTGAGGCTCTCTGAAACTCTGATAGACTTGGCTTTCTCCCAAGTGAAACTTCTATTTCTTATTTCTAATTGGCTGCTCCTAAAAGGGTAGGTCTCGTACTGTTGACACAGTGCCAGTAGAATCCCCTTCCCTCAGCTGTCAGAATATTGACCCAGTTTGTGTCCCTCACTCCACAAAACATCTTCTCAAACTTCCTGCTACCCTCAAGTAAAGTCTAAGTTTCTCAGTATACAAACCTCAAGACTTTTGTGAAATCCTATTGAGTCTTATCTCACAGCCCCCACAGTCCTGATCTCTGCTCTCCTGTCATCCTTTTTCATGATTTGTTCCCACTATTTGTACCACCTGAACCATCTTCCACTTCTTGACTCTCCTCAGTCTTAGCTGGCCTTAAACTTAAGCCCAGCATGAGCAGCAGTTGACTTTGACCTTTGAGCCTCCCAAGGCGCTCTGGTTCAATTCTTGGTGACAGTTCCTATTTGTCTTTGTTCCACAAGATCTTTGTGGCTAACCTGATGATGTATACCAGTGCTTTTATCACCGTCATGGATCCTTAAATTCCTCATTGTGGGCTCACTGAGAGCAGTGGGCCTGCATTTGTTCAGCACATGATGGCTAAGTCCCTGTGTGTCCCCATGTTGCTCAGCACCAGGATGCAAAGATAGTTGTGAAGCCTGCCCAAGGACCTTTCCTGTTTAAGTGATATTTCTACCTTTTGTTGAATATTTACTGTGTGCTAGACACTGCACTAAAGCACTTCACCTTTTTTCCACATAAACTTCACTACAGCTAAAAGATGGGCGTTTTTGCTTGCTGCTATTTACACATGAACTTGAGACTCAGACATTGTAGGTAGTTTGCTCAAGATCCCACAGCTAGTGAGGAGCCAAGTGAGGTGAATCCAGGTTTGTTGCCTTCCTGCTTCATTAGGCTGGAAGTCCCTCGTTAGGCGGACTGCAGCTGTTAGCACCTGAGTACACCGGTGAAAACTAGTGTCACATGTCCTGTGGCCCCCTTTATGATACCATCTTCTGTCTCTTCAGATCGAGCCATACATGCCATATGAATTCACATGTGAGGGGATGCTGCAGAGAATCAATGCCTTCATTGAAAAGCAGGTAAGACTCAGCGGAGATCTCCTTTGCTGTGCATACACCCTGTCACGCCAGAGGCTCTTTTATACACTTAGGAGCTTGCAATATTTCTGTGTTTATTTTTCTGCTTTGGAAGGCGCCAGAAAATGGATAACAGCTTGTAGAAATTCCAAAGCATGTATTGTCATGTTCATTCAAGAGAGTCAGTTTGTTCTTAAGGTAACAATGTTCTTTTTTTACATACATAAATATAGAGAGGTAGACCTATTTTTTAATAACGTAACCTTCTTTTACATCATTTTTGACAGTGTAGGATTTCTCCCCTCAGGTATGACCACTGTAGCTCTCCCTTGACCATCCTGTCTGTGCTCTGAATGAATGCTAAGGAGTGTCACAAAGACCTGGGCAGGGGTGGGGACAGAGAGATGACACTGTGTTCCTATCTGATCTTCATTTCCCACCCCAAGGAAAAGGCAAGGACCAAAACCAGTGGTTTCTAAGCAGTCCTTTAATATATCTTCAATAATTCCAAATGTGTTGGGACTTTTTAATAGTTTTCAAACATCTTTTAAACAAGACCCTTTTTCAAATGAAACTTTACATGAAACCTAAGAATACAAAATGATAAAAACAGAACTTCAGTTCCAAAATGGGAGGGCTCCAAGAGCCCTAACCACCAACAGAATTTGGAAATTATGACCTGGGTTCATAGCAATAAATGTCAAAAGCGTCACTCCCATCATTTTATAACATTTCAGTTCCTTAGACTTCAAAAGCAACACATTGCTAGAAATAGATGCAGAACCCCTGTGGGGAGGAACTATGAACTCCTTGACCAGATTCTAAAATAAGGTGCTTCTCTTACAGGGCAAGACAAAGTGTCTTGGGGTGACCCAGAGACCTTTACACAATAGGGGTGGGGATTTTTGTAGGCTGAAAATAGAAATGGTGTACTGAAATTTTAAGGAAGCATAGAGTATAGGTTCAAGATAGATTGCCAGGAGATTTGAGGTAATAGACTGTGGTGAACTGTGGACGGTCTGGATACTGCTGAGAGAGGAGCAGAGTCCAGGGCCATGGACTTCAGGGTAGCGTGTATGGTGTTCTGTGTGTTGTTAATGGCAAAAGAGCATGTTCTACTCCCCAGCCACCTGGTTTTGGTTCCCACCACCATAACTTTCCAGTTGTGTGAACTGGGCGCAACTCTTCCTCTCTGCGCCTTAGTTCCTCCCCTGTAAAGTCAGCATGCCAGAACCTCTCATGGCCAGTGTGAGGCTTGATGAGCTACTATCTGTGTTTGCTAAGAACAGGGTTGGCAATGATGCAATGAATGCAAACTGGCATAGGTGGTCCTCAAATAACATCATTTGTTCATTTTTCTTATAACATTGATGATAAAAAAAACAAATATCTGCAATTGTTAAATGATGTTGTTTCAGTACCTGCTTGCATTATATGTTTGGCTTAAAGTTTTGTTTTCCAAGAACCTATCAATGACATTAAGATTTACTGTACTGTGTTAGCATATGATACAATTGTTATCATATTCTTATATAAGTAAGCAATGATATATTACATGACAATACTTATCAGAAAATGTACATTTGAATCATTATCTCACTTGGTCTTTATATGATAGCTGAATTAAGAATGACTGTATCTTCATCCTAATTCTTGCAGACATTTTTGTGTAGACTTTATGTCAACATGTACCAAGCATGTTACAGTCCCATCTTGTTTAATCCTCACTGTAATCCTGGGAGAATCCTCACTATTATCCGGGGAGAATCCTCACTATTATCCGGGGAAGTAGAAGTAATCACCCCACTCTCCAGATAATGGGAGCCAGGACTCAGTCTTAGAGCTCACAGTCATGGAATCAAGGTTTCATGGTTGCTCTGAGCCTTGTCCTGCACCATGGCATTTCTGGGACCTTGGACAACAGAGAGTGGTCCAGAAATTTCCTTCCATTTTCTTTTACCTCAAGAGGCTTCCAGCTGCTCCTGAAGATGCAGAGAGTAACTGGCTTCCTGTGATACTGGTTTTCAGAGATCACAGTTCTTGGTGCTGTCATAGGACACTTTGAGATATTACTGGGATCCCTGCAGCTGCTCCGGAAACCTAGTCCTTCCTTCATTTGTCTGGGTAAATGGTTACTCACCACCTCCACTTGTCTGGGTAAATGGTTACTCACCACCATGTGTAAAAAGATTCTTTATCAGGTTTATTTGAAGACTTTTATTTCTGTCTTCCCTAACACTCAAGTCCCAGTTAGTCTTAATAAGGTCTTAAGGCCTGTTCTCTGTATATGTTATTACTAGCTTTCCTTTCAAAAAGAAAAGTCTCTTTCTCCAAACAAACGTTACAGAATGTTCCAAAAATGAGTAACCATACCTAGCTCATTCACCTCTGTATCCCAGGTGTCCCCTGCCCGCTTGGGCACTTTAGGTGCTCAGCTGAAGGAATGGATAAATGAGTGCAAGAGTGATTGCATATTGACAAGGAACCAAGAAATTCATCTTAAGCCTTAAGATTTGGAAACTATGTCACTAAAATCCTCTTCTGCAAAATATGTTAATAAAATCGCCCATTTGCACTACTTTCTAGGATAGACTTTGCTGTGCAGAGCTCTGCAAGTCAGCAATTCAGAGATTTCCTTTTTGCCTGCCATTGTTTAATCATTCATCCATTCTGTAAATATTTGTCAGCTAGAGTCTCCTGTGGACTGTGCTGAGCTCATGGGAGGGGGAGGGGGAGTAGCGACGGAGATGCAAAAGGGCCAGTCTCTGTCTCAGGAGCTTCAGGTTTTATAGAGAAATGAGTCAAGTCCATGGAAAACTACACCTTGTATGTGATTCTTTAGGTCTTATAACTGTGGATTTGGAAAGCAGACATCGTGGGGAGAGGCCGGGGGGCTGAGGGACAGGGGAGCATTTTGCAGGATGTGAGTCCTGAAGGCCGACTTGAGAGTATGGGGAGGACTGAATATGTCAAGAAACAAAGATGTGCACTAAAATAAAAAAGAGAAATTAGGGTGAATTATGGGAAGTTTAGCTGTGACTATACTTTGACGGTAGAGGAAGAGGAAGAGATGGTAGAGGAAGCCTGGAGGAGGAGATATCATAAGTAGGTGCTGAGGGTCAGCTGAAGAATTTGGACTTGATCTGGGACAATAGAACTAAAGAAAGGTTTTAACACCGAATGAAGGTAGTGATGCTATCAGGGTATTGTTTAGAAAAAAATAATCATAGGAGTCTTGTAGCTAGAGCACTTTTTTTTGAGCATTCTCCCAGTGCTACTAAGTGTGTAGTAAAGGGGCCCATTTTTAGTTTATCTCAGTCCTCGGTGGATGGTTTTATTGAATCCATAATGTCTGCCCAGCTTCAGAGGGGAGACAGGTGCCAAAACCCCATTGGTTCAGATCGAGTCTCTACATCTAATTATTAGCTCAGGAGCCCAGTATTTTAGAGCTTGGCTGTTCATTATTTTTGCAGCTAGCATATCTTCAAAGAGCAGAGAGACTGGAGAGAGGGTGTTTCTGGTATGAGCAGGAAAGCCTCAAGCTCCAAAGAGGTGGCGGCAGCTCTGGTTTCCCATCCCTTGAACTGTAGAGGCGCGGTAGCGCTAATTAGGTTGATCTCTGCCTTCAGAGTCCTCCGTGTGATCTTTGAGGGGAACAAGGAAGCTTTTATCCCAGAACCCTTTCAAGGCTGCCCATCATGCTCACCCAAGGCAGCAGGAGCCAAGAAGCCAATTGACAGCAATTGAGAAAGCCCCAGGCTGCAATGAACGGTTGAGCAATTGACAGCAGGAAGCCTATCCCAACCCAGCCAACCCAGACACAGGCACCCAATAGGGAAGGATCCTAGTTTTAGGGAAACCGATTACTTTTTTCCCTCCATACCAACCCCTCATGTCAAGCTCCTTTACTAAGAATGTTGATTTGAATTTCATGTTCTTTTACATCAGCCCTCCTGAGGAAATGCTCTCTCCTGCAACAGTGGTCAAGAGCACTAGTCTAACTTGGATGTGTCTAGGTCAGTCAAGTTTCTTGTGATACATTCCTTGAGAAAGACTCTGGTCTGTGCCTTAGGACAGAGAGTAGAGTGGTTTCTGTTAAAGGCTGATTTCTAAAGACCACACATAGGTTCTTCATTCCTGTTTTCATTTCTTATAAGGATACAGAATAATTGTGTTCATGTTATTTTGCAAAGAGCAGTGGAATCCAATGCAAGGGGCATTCTGGAGATAGAGGCGAAGAATTAACACCTGCAAGAGCTGGGCTGCTATAGAATCAGCTTCCGCTCCTGGGAAAGCCGGTTCATCAGAGCCCATCTTGAACTCCATGGGGAGTGTTGTAGATACTAGGACAGATTGCTGTGAATGTGAACTCTGCAGGGTTGGCAGGAATGCCACAGGTGACTTGGGCAGAGAAAATAGTAAAAATATTAAAGAAGGGAGAATGATTGCTCATTGAAAAAGCTGCAGCTACTGTGTCCCTGGACATTCCCACCCCCAGAGAGCCAGGGCATGCCTGGGTCCACCTTCTGACCCTGTCTGCACTCTCTGAGTCAGGGCAAGTTTCCTAATCTCACTGTACCATTTCCTCTTCCAAACAGTAAATACTTCCTACACCATAGGGTAGGAGTAGGGTAGTCCTAAATAGATTAATGCATATTTAGACTAAGAGCAGTGCCTGGCCCATCTTTGAATGGGGTCAATCTTTGAATGCCTTTGGTACCTGCGGCTTGCAGGAACCCAGAAACAAACCAACCATGGTATGTTTTTGAAGTAACATCATCCAGCTCTAATTGACAAACCATAAAATTCACTCCTTGAAGGGTATAATTCAGTGATTTTTAGCAAACTGATAGAGTTGTGCAGTTACCACCATTAATTGTATCACATTTTCATCATCCAAAAAGCTCATTTGTGCCTACTTACAGTCAGTCCTGGCTTTCTGCTTCAGCCCCAGGAAAATACTGATCTATTTTCTCTCTCTGCACATTTGTCTTTGCTAGAGA